CTACTACTACTACTATTACTACTACAGTACTACTACTACTACTAGTATTATTATTACGACGACTACTACGACTACTAGTTCTACAACTACTACTACCACCGCCACCTACTACTACTACTACTACTACTACTACTACTACTACTACTACTACTACTACTACTACTACTACTACTACTACTACTGCTACTACTACTACTACTACTACTACTACTACTACTACCACTACTACTACTACTACTACCTACTACTACTACTACTACTACTACTACTACTACTACTACTACTACTACTACTACTACTACTACTACTACTACTACTACTACTACTACTACTACTACTACTACTACTACTACTACTACTACTACTACTACTACTACTACTACTACTACTACTACTACTACTACTGCTACTACAACTACTACTACTACTACTACTACTACTACTACTACTACTACTACTACTACTACTACTACTACTACTACTACTACTACTACTACTACTACCAAAACTATACAATCCCCTAACACTACTATCGCGGCAACCGCAACTACAACAGCAACGAAACGTATGACGACCCGGTCCCCAGCGCGCCCCCTCGGGCTCCGCGAAATGTCACGCCTGCTGTGCCCTGCGAGCCTGAAACGGATAGCGACCCCCATTCCTGCGAACACCCTTTGGCGTCGAGACAATACCACGCCTGCCATGCCCTGCGAGCCTGAAGCGGGTAAGGCTCCCACCCCCCACGAACGCCCTCTGGCATCGAAGATGTGCCGCGCGTGCCGCGCCCTGCAAACCTGAGACGGATAGCGCCTCCCACCCTCTGTGCACACCCATTCTGACCTCGGGACAACGCCACGCCTGCCACGCCATTCGAGCTTGAGACTGATAGCGCTCCCACCTCCAGCGAACCCCCTCTGGCATCGAAAAAGCGCCACGCCTGCAACGCCCTGCGAGCCTGAGACGGATTAAGCCCCCACCACCTGCGCACCCCCCTGGCGTTGAGGACATGCCGCACCTGCCACGCCCCGCGACACTGAGACGGATAGCAACCCCGCACCCCCAGCGCACCCCCTCTGGCGTCGAGAAAGTGCCACGTCTGCCGTGCCATGTGCGCCTGCAACGCATAGCGTGCGCACCCTTTCTGGTGTCGAGAAAGTGCCACGCCCACCGTGCCCTGCGAAGCTGCAACGCATAGAGGCCGCACCCCCTGCGCACCCTCTTTGGTGCCGAAAAGGTGCCACGCCTGCCGTGCCCTGCGAGCCTGCAGCGCATAGAGACCGCACCCCCTGCGAACCCCCTTTGGTGTCGAGAAAGTGTCACGCCTGCCGTGTCCTGCGAGCCTGCACCGCATAGAGACCGCACCCCCTGCGTACCCCAGCTGGTCTCAGGAAAATGCCACGCCCGCCGTGCCCTGCGAGCCTGCAACACATAGAGACCACACCCCTGCGCACCCTTTTCTGGCGTCGAGAAACTGCCACGCCTGCCGTGCTCTGCGAGCCTGCAGCGCATAGAGACCGCACCCTCTGCGCACCCCAGCTGGTGCCGAGAAAGATACAATTCTGCCGTGCCCTGCGAGCCTGCAACGCATAGAGGCCGCACCCTCTGCGCACCCCCTCTGGCGCCGAAAAAGTGCAACCCCTTTCGTGCCTTGCGCCCGTGTTTGTGTATGTGTTGTGTGGTGTGTGGTGTGTTTGTGTCTGGTGTGTGTGCGGCCGTGTCTGTGTGTGGTTGTTTGTGTGTGTGTCTGTGTCTCTATGTGCGCGTGTGTAGGAGTGTGTGTGTGTGTGTGTGTCTGTGCGTATGTGCGTTTGCAGGGGAGGAAGGAAGAGGAGGGGAGGAGGGGGGAGGGACGGAGGTGTGTGTGTCTGCGTGTGTTGCGGGAGACGCTGGTGCGACGCGGCAAAGAAGAACACCAAACCCCCACGACACGTTCCGTGTTCGCTGCTTCTCCTCCTGTTGTCCTCCCTTGTTAAGATTTGAGCTTCTCGGAGCAGCATGAGGCGCAAGGTGGTGCTCCCTGGGCACGAAGGGGTGCATCTCCTGCTCTCCCTCTCCTCACAGCCACGGGCCCCCTCCACCCTCCAAAGAAAAAAGGAGCCCGCGGCGCCGAGAGGCGGGATTGGATCTAATTGTTGGTGGCAGGAGAGATGCGCATGCACGCGCGAATGCACGTGCGCGAGCTCGACATGCTGAGCATACTGAGCCAAGCCACCGCTTAGCCACAGCTCGCCAAGCACTATCTGACCTACGAAGGCCAACAACCCAGGCGAACCGACGCTGCTGGATGCTGGGCTGACCTGGCCTGCACCGTGACACGATATGTGACGGGAAGAGAGCAACTCCTAGCCACAACGACTCACCAACGCGAAACCGCCAGCGGTTGCAGCTGCGAAGCTACGCCACACGCCACTCAACAACGCTACGACACGTTAACTTAGTCACCATGTGTGATTGCAGGCTCGATCACACTAGTCCAAAACGATGCTGATACAAGCCAGCTAAATGGTGAATCGACCCTACTGCCAGACGAAGGAAATATGGGATGCAATCGGTGCGCAGGTTATAAGCCAGCCAAACCCAAACCAGAAGTGAACGAATGTTAGCGTGAAACCTGCATGATGCGACGTTATGAAAACGGCATGATCACGAAAGCAGCTAGTGTGCCAAAGAGATGTATTTTCCCCGGCAAGAATGGGACGATGTGTGCCTCTTGGGGGGTCCTCTTGAGGACCTTTGGGAGCGTCTGGAGGGCTGCTTTGGCCGCCGTGAAACCAGATTGGGCCGTCCTTGAGCGCTCTTGAGCCGTCTGTCTTGGAGTTGTGTCTTCAGCCGTCTTGGCAGCCTCCTGGGCCGTCTTGGCCGCTCTTGGGGCTGACTTGGGCCGAACATGGCCGACAATTGGGGCGATTTGATCTGGGACGGGGCCTGCCAACCCTCTCACACTCCCTCTTGTTCTAACCCGCGACGGACACATCGCGACGCTACGCGCGCTTTCCGTTATCTGGGACCGGCAAAGCCATACTCCTCACACTCCCCCTTGTTATTACCCCGGCTAACAAATCGTGACGCTACGGGTGCTTTCCGTCATCTGGGGGTCGGGCTGCCAACCCCCTCGAACTCTCCCAAGATTCCCTCCAGACTAACGGATCGTACGCGTTTCGCGCTTGTCGTTATCCGCTGCCCCCTGTGGCTTGCCACAATCGTGCACGGCGTGCCGAACGTCTGGCAAGTTTCTGGTTCCTTTCTACCCCCCTCGCCCGCCACCCGGAAAGCCGCCTCAAATTCGGTCTCCATCGGTTCCATCGCGTCCAAGACGGCCAAGATGGCCTCCAAAGATGCCTCCAAGACGGCCAACATGGCCTCAAGAGAGCCCGAGATAGCTCAAAGACGGCCTCAAAGAAGATCCCAATATGCCTCCAAGATCGCCAGGACGGTCCAAGAGAGCCCAAGACGGCCAGAAGCGCCCAAGAGGCCGCTAAGACGGCCCAGGAGGCCTCCGAGAGGTCCGCCCGAAAGGCCAGAAGAGGCCAACATCCCTTTGGCTTCTGAAGGATCTTGACATTTGTTTCAAAACGGCCCTCCGACGGCCCAAGAGGCACCTAAGATTGCTCCAGGATCGCCCAAAAGGTCTCCAAGATGGCCCCAGGACGGCCCGAGAGGCTCCCAGAAGGGAAGCCAAAGGGTCCGAAGACGCCCAAGATGCCCGTCAAGACGACCCTTAAGCGCCCAAAGAGGGCTCTTGGATGGCCCCGAGAGGCTCCCAAGAAAGCTTCCGACGGCATCAGACGGGACAGGAACGCCGTAGGACGGCCAAAAAAGACTCCAAGAAGCCCCCAAAGGCCCCCAAGAGGCCCAATGAGGCCCCTAAGATGCCTCCAAGAGGCCCCCGCCAGGAGGCCCCAAGACTGATCCAAGAAGCTCCCAAGAGGTCTCCTCATCTTCCTCCTCCTCCCTTGTCCTCCCTCTGCTCATCCTTCTCTTCGTCCCCCACGTGTTCCCCGGAGGGCTTCCACAACGGCTGGGGGACGCGTGGTCCAATGGCGTGGCCAGACTTTGCCCAAACGTTTGGCCACATAGGCGTATCCCAACAGGCAAGGGGCGGCGGTGATTCCCTGTAGGCGTCTTCGTTACATAACAAATTCATCAGATATGCACGCTCAACTAATCGATTGGATTTGGCTCTACTTTGCAGTGCCGGACAACATGTAAGGAACATCCAGCATCTAGCCTAAAACGAATGCAACGATGATGAAACCTATACCATGGATGGGACACAGCGAACCAGAGCTAAGCTACACCAGCGGCCAAACAGCGTCAACGTCGTAACATTGCCAATCTAAAATCAGCCGACCCTGTCGGCGTGTGTGAGGGGCTTGCTTGTTCGAGTCGTCGTCTCCGTCATTCGTTGTCTCCGTCGCCCTCGTTCCCTGTACCCTCTTCCTCTAGCTTGTCAGCGAGAGAATCATTCAGCTATGCCGTAATCGAGTCAAAGGGAAACCCCTTCCTTTGATCCCTCCCCTGGCGGGGGGGGGTCCGGGGGGGGGGCAAGGAGGGGGGTCCGAGGTGGGTCAGATACGCATCCACCCCTGGGGCTCCCAGGGCCTCAGAAAGCACCAAGACAAGCCAAGAGAGTCCCAAGAGGCACCCGACACGGTTCAAGAAGACCACCAATCGCCACACGATCGGTCCAAAACGCCGTCACGCCCTCCAGACTGCCCAGGAAGCTTCCAGGACGCCCCAAGAAATTCATTGAGTTCCCGTTGGTTGTTTTAAGATTTGGGCGTTCTCGACGTTTCCATTTCCCGCCCGCCACTCCAAGACGGTGCAAGAGGTCCCCAGGACCGCCCCAAGACTGCCCTAGGGGACTCCAAGAGGCCCCGAAACAGCCCAAAGGGGCCCCAAGACAGCCCAAAACGCCTCCGTGACGGCCCAAGAGTCCCTCAAGATGGCTCCAAGAGCGTGCCCAGACGGGGGACCCGAACGGACATTTCGAGCCCTCGGCCCCGAGAGGCTCCCAGGAGGCACTAAGAGATTCCCATGAGGTCCCTTGAGGCACACAGGAGATTCCCCAGGAAGCCCGAAAAGGCCCCCAAGAGACTCCCAAGAGGCCCCCAGCAGGCTCCCAGGAGGCCTCAAATTCCTCCCCCAGAGGCCCCCGAGAGCCTTCCGAAGAGATCCCAAGAAGCATCCCTGAGGACTCTGGCCCACGTCAGCGTGGTCATCGTCGTCGTCGTCGTCGTCGTCGCCGACGCCTTTGTCGCCGTCGTCGTCTCCCTTCAGGGTCGGCGGCACTGGCCATAAGGCCTTCGCAATAAACATAGCTAAGATGAACTAAAGCTAGAAGCGCACGACAGACTACGAACATGCACGCAACGTCAAGCGGCACCTAAACCAAGAGCTGAGGCTGAACCTGAAGAAACAACTGATACATGCCACTACTCCAAGCTAGTCCAAGCCAAGCCTCCCTAGGCTGAGAAGCGCTGCACGCCAACACGATGTACTCTCAATGATCATGATCATTTGGGGGGCAATGCGGAGACATGACAGAAACTAAGCTAAGCGACCTAGCATAGACGCCAGACTCGATTAAAGCAGCTGGCTTGGTTTAGAAGACACGAGCATCTGATCTCAGCGAGGTGAAATGAGCCGCGGGCTGCACAAGGGTTCCAGACCGCCCCGGTGACGACCGTACTCAGGGAAGGCGAAGATAATGTCGAGCAGGGAGGCAAGAAGAGCAGCGTGTAACTGATACAGTGACGGCTCAGAAGAGCATCCGGTGTACCTGGCAGAACTTCGAAAAAGCTCGAGTGAAACGCGGAAACAATTGGCACTGGGTTGGGGAAAGGCCTGTTTAGCACGTCGGGAGCCCCACTGATCCACTGATACCTCCAGCACGCCAGCCAACCAGAAGAGCCTCCTAAGCCGAAATTCAAGCTAGTCTTGGACCGCATCCCCCATCCGAAGTGCCCGAGGCTTTGCCCTTCATGATTGGAGGGAGAAGAGACCACATTTTTGTGCGCCGATGGGCATTGGTCTAGTGAGCTGATCGTCGGCGAATGAGCGCCGCCACCTAAATCCGACGAAGCTTCTCCCATCTGTCCCACGATCGAGAACTCGCCCGCTTTTGCAGTCTCAGGGTCAGCTTGTCCTGCTTCACCTTCCAGGTCGATTTCTCTGGGTCGATCTGGCCCCACAGCTCCTGCGCGACGTAACACCAATTTGCCCCTCTCAAGTCTATGATGCGAACTTCCAATGAATTCGCCGTCATCCAAACGCATATTTTGTTATGCGGAATTGCATGCACACCCACGAGGGTCATGTAGACGGAGATCTGGCTTTTCCTGTCGTCGTCTGCAAATGCGACTTCCGCGATCTCTGACCAGGCATCGATGGTCTTGATCCAGTCCCGCTGCTCTTTGTATGTATCCGCAAGTCGGCCCTCGTTCAAGTCCAGTTTCTCCGGATCCGGGAGTACCCTGCTGCCAGGGATGCCAAGGGGCGTGATGCATATGCGGGATTGAAACTGAACACGCGTGTACGTTTACACACACGTACGCGGCTGGGTGCGACCGTGTGGGCGTACGCTGGTGCGGGCGTGTCAAGCTGTGCCGGCAGAGACATGTAACGCATGCGTCTGCATATGATGACACACGCGCCCGCACAAATGGCACTACGTGCACGACGCAGCGGGGAGGAGGGAGGAGGGGACATGACGCAGCAGGGAGGGGGGAGGAGGAGAGGAAGGAGAAGAGTGTGGAACGGGCGACGGAAGAGAACCAAGAGCAGGACAAAAAGGAGATCAAAGGGGAACGAATCGCGAGGGGCGGGGAAAACGGAAGCGCACTCGGGGGCACGCCAAAGCCTCGGGCAGGAGAAAATGGCTAGGGGGACAGGAGGGTCGACAATAAAAAAATATATGTTTTTTTTCGCGGAAACGACCCTGAACCAAGACAAGGCGAGTCGTGTACTGTTTCAGTGATGGCTTTCACGGCACCTTGGCTAAGACAAACCACGTTCTCACGAGTTCCAAAGCTTGCTTGATCGCCTGCAGTTCCGTGAAAAATGATGTGCAATGATGATGAAAAAAAGATGTGAGGGCCTTGTTCCAAGTTGGCTCTGGAGGCCCCCAAGAGCACCCAAGATCGCCCAAAGACGCATCCCAAAGCCCCCCGAAGAGCTCCGCGGAAGCCCTCGAGAGGCCAGAATCAATCAAAAAACAAGCGTGAAGGAGAAACGAAAAGGGAAGAGGGAAAAGGGCGCAGCGGGAAGGGGAAGGGGGAGAGGAAGGAGAAAGGAAGGATGAACAGGGGGGGGCGTTCTTGCGGGCTCGATGGAGGGGTCTCCAGGCGGGGGGCTCTGGGAGAAGCCCGACGATCCAGACATCCGACGTCACGGTTTCTTCGAAACGTGGACCCCGGGAGGTCCAGACCCACAACCATGGCTTTGCCTCCCGAGAACCAGGACCAGGAGAACGAGCCGCGGCGGAAGCTGAGGACGAGGGGCCCGGCCGCGGCGAGGGGCTCAGCCGGAGGGTCGCTGACTTCAGCGGAACGGCGGTGACATGTGCGTGGCAAGGCAGCCGGGTAACGGACCCTGCCACGGCACGCACCCGCCAGCGCAGCAACGAAGACAGGAGCATCAGAGGACGCCTGGCCGTCGAAGCACGGCAGTGAGACGACAGGACCATGGGCACCCAGAGACGCTTCAGGGTACGGAGCCAGCGAAAGGGTGGCGCTGTTTCCGCAGAAGCAGCGTCCCGCACGGATAAGCTCACAAAGGCTGCCAGGATTTGTCGTTCGAAGGGGAGGCTGACAGCCCTGCCCTAGAGAGGATAAGGAAGATTGCCGCCGCCATCGTGTCCTACGAGGGCCTGGCCGCCAGGCAGGAGGAGGAGGATGCACAAGCACGAATTGCTGCTGGGGAGCAAAGGATCAGAAAATCCCGAAAAGAAGCCCATAGGTGGATGAAGGATGACCGGATGCCCAGCGATCTGGCCGTGGAGCAAGAGGGGGAGATCTCCGAAACCAACCAGGAGGCCCCGGAGATGTTCCGGCGAAGGTGGCGGAAGGTGTGGCACAGGGACCTCCCAGACCTGCACGTAGCCCCTGACAAAGCGAGGCTCTGGCTCCCGCACATCCCGCCCAACGTGTGGGCCGAACTTGAGGTGCTGGACGTCAACTGTGCTATGCGCGGCTAACAAGACAAAGCGGCCGGCCCGGACGGATGGGACGGAAGAGACGTCTCGGAAGCGATCTTCGCGGACACCGAAATAACGTTCTTCTTCAACGCATGTGAACGACTGGTAGTACAACCGCTTGCTGGGGGAACCATGCGGCAGGCACACCTGCCGAAGGACCACCCAGCGCCTGGCCAATATCACATACCAGATGAGGAAGTGCAAATCGCCGAATGTGGCCTTCGCGTGGCATCGGGTCTGGAACACGGCTCGGGCCCGCTCACCGTCATGTCGCAGTTGGTGTGATAACTGGTGGTGCGCGGAGATGTATGGAGAGCGCAGGAAGGCAGGAAGGCCGAGACCCACGACGCCCTGCTGGAGATGTTGCTTGCTACTGAGGGTGACGCGGACCTCAGCACCTTGGATTTCTCCCTGGTCTTTGATTGCATTCACCCTTCATTGGTCAAGGGGTATTCGAATAGTTGGGATTCCCGCCGCTGCTCGCTGACATTCTACATGATCGTTGGACTCAACAGGAGCGACGGTTGGTCCTCGAGGGGGGTCGGTTCTCCCGGAGCCAGAGAAAGTGGGCACTTCTTTACCGCAAGGTGACCGTTTCAGTCCACTGGCTTGTGGTTTGGTGGAGAACGAATTCAAACAGCAGTGGATGCACCGCATGCCACAGGGGCGGGAGAAGCTCTGGCATGCTGGAGTGCAGCCGCGGTTCTGCGGACACCGCGGGAGCCGCCGTAAAGGGAGGGGCGCCAGGAAAACAACCAAAAAAGAGCAGAGGAGGCTGGAAAAGGCGTGGGCACGGATCACTCACGCAAAAAGGTTGCCCCTGGGGAGGAAAGACAAGCAGACGCTCACTCATTGAAACCGGCACATGACTGCGCCGTCCAACGGCTGGCACGATGTAGCAACGCCATCAACGGGGCCGTCACCCCGACGCTGGAGCTTCCCAAGGCGTCGGCACGCTCCCTCTGGCTGCTTATCCACGGGCACCGGATCGACCCGGACATTACGATCCCGCAAGAGACGGTCACCGCTGTCGCACGTGCTGCCAAAAAACGAAGTCTGCACAACCGGTGCAGATGGGAGCAGAAGCGCGGCCTGGCCGACAGCTTCTCCAGGCACCTAAGCAAGACGGGGTGGGAAAAGAACGAGGCTGCCTGGACTTGGTCACGACCTGACGGCACCAAGACCTCCCTGGACACTTCGAACCAGGACTGGCGGACGCCAAAGCGACTCGCCAACGTCCTGCGCGAGGGGTGGCGGGAAACACATCTTGACCTCTTCAGGAGAGAGGGACGCACCGACTCCGCGTTGTGTTCCGGCATCTGCTACGGCGCAAGACGACTCGAGGCATGCCACGCACACGTCCGTGCAACGCCACTTGCGGCCAGACTCTTCACCGGGGCGGTGGTCTCACCAGCACGTTTTGATGTCAACAAAGGAGAACATCCAAGTTGCACATTCTGCGGCCAGCAGGCGGATCTGAGGCACTGCGCCTGGCACTGCGCCGAGCCTCGCCTTGCGGCAGGACGGCCCTACGAGGAGCCCAGAGACCCGCTGCATGCCAGATTGTCCTGGCCCAAGGCGAAAGGAACACAAAGGCCCTGGACGACGCCATCGTCAGCTTCGGCCTCAAGGTGGATGCTACCAGTTTGAACGACAGACATGATTAGTCAGTTTCTTCTGGTATGGTGGCGTGGTGTGCTGTGCTTATATACCCTGTCTTGGCATATTATTTCTGCTGGTCAGAGCATCAGTTTCATCCTATGCTCAAGAGGTGCGTTCATCCAGAAGGACGTTATGTATTTGGCCCGTTCGCGAAGGCTGAGTGAACCCGTGACGATTGCAAGCGCGCTTAGGAGAGAGCGCCAACTGGGACGCACGCCTGCCCCTGATCTCCCTCCGAATTCGAGGGGCGCGCTGCAAACGTGATCATGGGCCAATGGTGCGGATGGCCACCCTCACCGCTTGTTGTCTACTTGTTCGGTTCCGTTTCTGCGTCTCGTTGCTCCTCATTGCCCCTCCTCTGCTTGCTCTCCTTTCCATAACTGTTCAGGTTGAGGCTAGCGCTTAAATGGTTCCAAATTGCACGCGTCCAGGAAGCCTGAACACACTCGTGTGGGTCTGACCAGCTTCAAGCGCTGGCATTGGCTTGAGCCTGATCTCCAAAGAAAGTGTATCCCCCGGCAGGGATCGCAGCGAGCCTCGGGATTTGAGGTAGATTGTCTCGAGCAGTTGCGAGCTTGACCGCTGCGTTGGGGAACCTAAGATGTACCGATAAAAACTACTCCCCAGACCTCCCCCAGGTTGCGTTCCGACCCGGATTTCGATGCGAATCCAGCGGTGGCGACGATGGCCTCGTAAGAGGCCCCAAAAAGGGGAAAACGAGGGAGGAGTATCGGTATTGGTACCCTTCCTCCTCTGATACGTCATCATACATCTGATCAGGCCCGAAGAGGAGACCAGCGTAGCAGGTCTCTAACTTGCAGAGGCCGCGAATAGAGCAGCACGCCGGCCGACGCGCCTTCCAGTGTCGAAGGAGGCCCGAGAAGTAGGAGGAGGAGGATGAGGAGGAGGAGGGAGAAGGAGGAGGAGGAGGAGGAGGAGCTGGCTCAAGACATCTCGGCTCCAAGGGCCGGGGTTGAAGCCTCGCCAGAGATAAAAACGACCCAGGTATCGGCCATCAACAGTGCGATGGTTCCTCCGTCTCTCAAGCATCCGAATTCGCATGCATCAAGAAAGGCGAGTCGCATTCGATGTCCCGTCGGGAGGCGAAAGGGAGCCTGTGCGAAAAGGGTGGGCGGCGAAGTCAAGCCACTGTGCGAAATATAGCCGTGCGAGAAACGTGTGGAAAAGGCGGTAGGAGAGCAAGGGCGAGTGAGAGAAGCAGGCAGAAATAACTTCGTCGAGTTTAGTTCGGTTCCCTTAGTGCGTAAGGATCCAGGCCCGCAGATCGCAGTTGCTCGCGGAGGAGGAGGAGGAGGAGGAGGAGGAGGAGGAACAGGCGGAGGAGGAGGAGGAGCAGGAAGAGGAGGAGGGGGAGGGGGAGGGGGAGGAGGACAAGCTATGTGCGCTCGCGTCATATCTGACGTCCTACCCCTCCCTCCCATCCCTGACCATGGCGCTGATTTCCTCTATCCGCGGACGCGTGTCGTAGCGGACCTGTGGCTCCGCGCGCGCGTGCGTAGTGGGTGGTGGTGCGCGTGCGTGCGTGCGTGCGTGTGTGCGTGGTTGTGGTGGTGGTGGTGGTGGTGCTGCTGCTGCTG